CGAGACGGAATTTTGACTTGTTTTTCCTACATCATGAACAGGCCCTGAGCATCGGCCATGCCAGAGTCATAAACAGCAAATTATCCACTTTTAATGAAGCTCGAGTGAGACGTACACACATACACACCCACACAAACACACAAACACGTATATAGCTATAAATATAAATATAAATATATATGTATGCGCACGCACGCAAATCCATGAATATTATATGACTTAAAATGACCCCCCAGAAGCGGGCATTTCGCTCCAGGTCCATTTAGATTGGCAGCTGGAGCGATAATGGGGCATAATTAAGATGTATGCTTCGGATCGGCCAAATCTGGCCCCTTCTGCCTTCTGGTCGGGCGGGCTGAAGAGGAAGAAGAGGCAGAAGAAGACGTAGACGAAGAAGAATGCTTTACGAATGAGCCAGGTGTCACCTGACTTGTAGTCATGCTGGCCGGAACCAATCCCGGCCCGGCGTTTGTCTGCCTCCAAGGTACAACCAACACATGTCCATCTGTTAGCTGATGCCTGTCGGCCAAGTGTGTGTGTAGATAAATCACACTTCTGGCATGGCAACAAAGCGTGGCCTGCGTGACTGTGCCCCACTAACCCGGTGATGGGAAGGATCCGAAAAACAGCTTGACCTGCGTCACCTTGACGACTCATTTCCGTCGACACCGGCTCGAGGTGGTCCCGACGGTGTCCGACTACGAGTCCCGCGGAAGGCGGCCGAGGAGGTCGCCTCCGCAAAGTGGTCGCATCCCATCTTTCGACCGCCGACTCGTCTCCTTCCGGCCGCCCCAACCCCCTTCTCATCGCGTCGTCGGGCTCCAGTCACCAAGGGTCGGAGGTCAGGCTCTTCCTTCAAGGGCCGGACGTGTCGTGTTGCCTGCGTCTGTCTTCACGTTCAAGCAGCACCTGCGCCCCTTTTGTCCGCTTCACGAACAAGCCTTGCTCATCTCGCAGCGACAACGGCTGCGGTCAGCCTCGCCCGACCGGTTTACCTCTCAAACGGTCTGTCCACGCGGCAGATTCTCCTTCTGCCATGGTTACCAGGCCTGTCAGTCAGGCGGGTGTGGAGACGGGGAGTTCTCGTGGCGGCCCCGGTCTGCAAAGCCACGACAGCTGCCTTCACTTTCTGGGCCACATGGTACAGATGACCCTCGTCCCACTGCCCAGCCATTGCTCAGTCCAGCTGCTTTCCCATTGGCCGCTGTTTAGATGACATATCTTCTCACTATATCGCTCTCTCTCCTCATCTCTATCATTACTTTCATCTTTCTCGTTTTCTCTTTTATTTACTTTGTTGTTGCTGCTCTCTTTCTACATCCCTCTCCTCATTGTTAGCATCACCTCACTCCTCTCTCTTTCTCTCTCCTTATCTTTAGATTTCTCTCTTTATCTCTCTTTCTTCTCATGTATATCTTTAGGCTTTTCTCATCATTTATGTTACCTCACTCCTCTTATCTTTAGTTTTACCTCATCTTTTCCTCTTTCTCACTTTTTTTTCTTTACTTTTCTTTATTTTTGTCTCTCATCTTTGGTGCTGCCTCACTCCTCTCTCATTGCCTCGCTCCCTCTATCTTCTCTCCTTATCTTTGGATGTTCACCTCACGTGATCACTCTCTCTCTCTTCCTTTATTTTTGTATATGTATGAATATAAGCTTCTCGGATGGAAGCCTGGCCCCCTTTGTCTCGCCAGTCAAGCGAAGACGTCAGATGGGTCGTCTGACCGACCTGGCAACCGCTGCAACCGGCGGTCTCCACTACGCCTCGAGTCGG